TAAACTGAGCTAACTTGATGTAGATTCTGGTTGAAAAGCCATTCTGGGTTTTGTGAGTCTTCCTTAGCAATGGAACCCTGACTGCCCCTATTAGTACAAGAACTGTTTGGCCAGTGCCTAGTAACGGTAATGTTTGCCCAGGAATTTCCAGTATTTTCAAGAGTAAAGTGCTTTCATCTCCTAAGTATGAACTGTTTACATTGATTTTTTTTTTTTTTTATCTCTGAATAGTATTCCATTGTAGGTACAGACCACATTTTGCTTGTCAGTCCGTCTGTTGATGGACTCTTGGGTTGTTTGCACATTTTGGCTATTCATTACCTTCCTCTCTTCAATGAGAAGTTTAACCCTTCCCTTCTCCTTTTGTCTTTGAGAGACAGTGATTATCTCTTAATAAGATCCCTGTTGCTCTCCCAAGAAATGAAGACTCTGAGTACTGTTGTCGCTCAGGTATGTCCTGCTGAAGACAGGGATGAGATTAGATGAGATGTTCTGGGGCTTGGGAATACATGATAAATCCCATATTGTCCAAGGTTGGGTCTGACCACTTTCCACCTACCTCCGAGCTCACCAAAGCCTGCAATGCACACAGAGCTGACAGAGCATGGGAGGCCTTTGAAGAAGTACCTGTCCTCTTCACAGGTGTTTGGGATCTGAGTGTCTTGGGAAATGCTGGAGGGGGTCAATGAAGAAGGGGCCAGGATTGCAAAGGCTCTGAATCTCTGTAGATCCCGTGAGCCAGGAGAGTGCCTATGACTTTTGAGTCAGAATAACAACTTCCTCATGAGTTTTTCACAAAATCCAAAACTTGTTTTTCTTACCTTTGTTTCAGTCAGATTAATTCTCACTCTCTCTGGGTGGCATACCCAGCCTATAGACTTTCTAAATCCCTAAGATTTTACACTCTTGCAGAGGAGCTTGAGTTTTTGCCATGCACTTTTCCTTTTGCCATGACATGAAGCTAAAGTATACTGATGGTCTTTCACCTTCCATGCAGATTTACAGTTACAGATGAGGAGGCACCTCCTTGCCACCCAGTGCAGTGCCTTATCACAGACCAGGATCTCTATTCAGAGTTAAGGATCATGCTGCTCCTCAGCAGGTGCAGTCTTTCAACAGGATCAGGAGTCCACAGGTGTCTGTTTTCTCAACCCTTTTCCTTTTTCCATACTCTGTGGATTCACTGGCTGAAAAAACAGAGTTTTCTTTTTCTTTCTTTCTCTCTCTCTCTCTCTCTCTCTCTCTCTCTCTCTCTCTCTTTTTCTTTCAAAAGAGGACTGGTAAGCTGAAAAAACAGAGTTTTCTTTTTCTTTCTTTCTCTCTCTCTCTCTCTCTCTCTCTCTCTCTTTTTCTTTCAAAAGAGGACTGGTAAGAAGGGGATCTTAACCCTTGACTTGGTGTTGTCAGCACCACGCTCACCCAGTGAGCAACCGGCCATCCCTATATGGGAGCCGAACCCGTGGCCTTGGTGTTATCAGCACCGCACTCTCCTGAGTCAGCCATGGGCCGGCCCCAAAGACAGAGTTTTCTTTCCAATACCTGTAAACATATCCATTACTGTATTAGTTTTCTGTCACTTATAACAGAATACCTGAAACTGGGTAATTTATAAAGAAAATGAAATTTATTTCTCAGAGTTTTGGAGGTTGGGAGGTCTAAGGTCTGGGGGTGCCTCTGGTGGGGGCCTTCTTCTTGGTGGGAACTCTCTACAGAGTCCTGAGGTGGTGCAGGTTATCTCATGGTGAGGGCCTGAGCAAGAGCGCCTCAAGGTGCTCACTTGGTCTCATAAAGCTCCCAGTCTATGTGCTGATAGTCTAGTAAACCATTAATCCATTAATCTATGAGGACAGAGTCCTCACAATCCAATCATGTCCCAAAGGCCCCATCCTTTTAACACTGTTACAATGGGGGTCAAGCTTCAATGAGCTTTGGGGGGATATTCAAACCATAGCAATTACCTTATTTTATGAGGGCAAACTATACATAACATACTATTTATCATCTTAACCATTTGTAGGTGTGCAGTTCAGTGGCATAAAATACATTCATAATGTTCTATAACCATCACCATTATCTATACCAAAACCTTTTTCTTCATCCTTGTATTAGGATTCTCCAGAGAAACAGAGCCAATAAGACATACATCTATATATTAGAGGTATGGAAATACCGATATAGACATGTATCTATATTTATTCCAAGGCTCACACAAGAGACTAAGTCCATGACCTGCCATCTGTAAGGTGGAGACCCAGGAAAGCCAATGACGTTAATTCCAGTTCAAGGGCAGAAGACTGATGTCTCAGCTCAAGCAGTCAGGCAGAGAAAGAGAGAGAGAGAGAGAGAGAGAGAGAGAGAGAGAATTCAACTTTCCTCCACCGTTTTGTTCTTTTCTGGCCTTCTACAGAATGCCCACCACCCTGGAGAGGGAAATCTGCTTTACTCAGTCCACCAATCAATTCAAATGCTAGACTCTCTGGAAACACCCTCACAGGCATCCCCAGAAATAATGTTTAACCAGATATCAGGACGTCCTATGGCCCAGTCGACACATAAAATTAACAATCACAATCCTTAGCATAAACTCTGTATTCATCAACCAATAACACCCCCTTCCCCTTTTTCTCCCGGCCCCTGGTAATCTCTATTTCTATGAATTTGACTATTCTAGGAACCTCGGAGGAGTGGAATCATACCAAACATTTATTATTTCGTGTGTGGCTTATCTCATTTAGCATAGTATCCTCAAGGTCTACCTATGTTGTAGCATATGTCAGACTTCCTTCTTTTTTTAATGGCTGAATTACATGTTCTATTGTATGTATGGGCCACAGTTAGTTTATTCTTCTGCTTATGGACACTTAGGTTGTTTCTACCTTTCGGCTATTTGTTACTTCCTTTTTCAAAAAATGAAATGTCATTTTTGGATTGGCTCATACAAGTAACTTTAGCACAAAGACTTTGTAACTTCCCCTTGTCACTACTAAGACACAAAACTGTTTACTCCATGCAGAGGGCAAAGGAGAAATCTTGTAGCAAGACAGGTCTAACCAGCCTTCTTTCAGTTATATCCAGCTGTTTGTTATGACAATGTTGATTAACTGGCTTGATATTAATAACTGAAGAGATCTTAGCAGCCAGGCAGAACTGTGTTCACCACATTTGGGCATTTATGGCAGGATGATTGTGAATGATCAGGTATGTCTAAAATCACTTTCACTTGGAAGTTTCTTTCTAAGCCACTTGATTTTTTTCGTTTTTGTTTTTTTACTTTTTTTCTTGTCTAAGCCAATTGATTTTGTTTTTTTTAAAAGAAAATGTAATTTTATTAATTTTTTACATTTATACATTTTTTATATTTATATATTTATGTATTTTTTGTTATTTTATAGTATCCATATTTCAGCCTTGAGAAATGTTTGCCCAGATTCATTTGAGCAGTGGTTCTCTACCTTGGCTGCATACTCATATCACCTGGGAAACTTTGAAAAGTATTGACACCTGAGCCCCATCCCAAGTGATGCTGTGGTTGGTTCTGTGCACCAGAATTTCTACCAGCTCCCCAGCGTAGCCCAATGTGTAGCCAAAATTAAGAACAATTGATGGGGTCCTGAGACAGGAGCTGAGGGCCAGCCTCATTTCCCCTCATCCACAACAACATCTTAGAATGTATTTATTAGGCACGTGTGTTTCTTTGGGGTGCATGACTTAGCTCATGTCCTTCACCAAATTTCTGCTTAGTTTTTTGTAATTCATTTTTAAGAGTTCTTTTTGCAGTAAGGATATTAATCTTGGAGTGTTAAATCTGTTTCTTACCAATTGACTTCAAATTTAATTTGTGATGTTTCTCTTCATTTCTATGCTGAGAAAAGAATTTTCTATGTAAACATTAAATTTTTAAAAATTTAAAGTTTACAAAAAGAACAATTAAGTTGGAGCATGTTACAAAAGCAGCTGTATGTGGAACAAGAGATAATGTATGTTTCTCCCTTTCTGAAATATCTATTTGGATTTTTTGAGCTTGTAATAGGGCACTAGGCAACCATCTTTGTCCTTTTTCGAGTATCAAGGGATGAAAAAGAGATATGACCAATATTGGATCAGAAGCCTTTCAGATTAAAGGTTAAGGTTGGCTCAACCAGCCCTTTTCAATGATAGGGGCTTGTTACATCTTTGATCCAAATCCATACCCCACCAAATGCATGTCTGTGATGATGGCAAGGTTTTGGAAGTTGAGTTAATCCTGTGGGAGGAAGATGGAGAGTTATGGTAAGGTTGCATCTTTTCACGTCCTTGAAAAATAACTCAAGAGTCATGCTTAAACTTGGGCATCTCATCAGTCAAACAACATGCGTTGTTGGTGACCTACTGTGTGCCAGGACCTGGGTAGACACAGGAGGCAGGACAGAGTCCCTGCTTTCCAGGTGCTCACAAGTAGTGACATCTTATCTCCCATGGCATGAGGTGCATACAGTTCTATAAACCCTCTTAAGAAATGATGACCAAATGGTTTCTGTCTTAATTTGTGTCACCTAAGGCACCAAATAGCCTTTACTATGGGAGTCACTCTATTACCTGTGACCTTCAGGAGACTCCCAGGCCTATGTAGCATCTTGATATCATCAGAAGTGGGCTGGGGTCGCACTCAATTCCCAGGCCTCCCCGATATCTCTCACAGTGGGTGGAGGTGGGGGAACCTGGACAATATTATAGGTTGTAATAGAAACGGTAAGAATAAGAGCAACTTGGGGATAGAAGGTAAGAATAAAAGGACTTGTGGAATTTTGTGGAACCAGAAAAGATCCTGCAACATTGGGAGGTGACAGCAGCCCGAGGTGACAGAGAAGAATCTCTGTGAGAAGTGATGGAGGAGCTAATAATGGAGCTGAAGCCATAGTCTGGTGTGGGGAAAATGAAGAACTCCTGAATGTGTGACATGCAGGGTCTGTCCTCAGCAAGAGCCTCTGGGATGGTCCCTCAAGGATCAAGGCAGGGTGACGATGTGGACCCCAGGCAGGTACTTATATCTCATGGAGGATTCTCTTACAGGGCTGTGTGTTGGCCAAAAGGACATAAAAAAAAAGACATAAAGGATGGTGAGCATTTCTTCAGTTAAACCCTCTTTGATCCTTCACCCTAAATTCCCCACATTCTCTTCCTCTTCTCTAAATGGGCTTCCTGAGAGCTGGTAAATGAGTCAAACCCAGTCCTGAGTTCTGCTTCCTTCCAGGGTCACTGCCCAAGCCCTCCCTCAGTGCCTGGCCCAGCTCGGTGGTACCTGCCAAGAGCAATGTGATTCTGAGATGCTCGACTCCTACCAGAGATGTAAACTGTGTTCTCAGAAAGGGAGGAATTATTTTGGAGTCCCTGAAGGAACTGGATTCTGCAGAAGGTCTGGCTGAATTTCATCTCAGTGACCTACAACAGAGTGATGCTGGAGGGTACACATGTGAATGCTACAGAAAAGGGCTCCCCAACACAATGTCACAGCGCAGTGATGTCCTTCTATTGTTGGTTACAGGTGAGGAGTGGGTGCCTTAGAATGACATTTGGGGATTAGGGGATGAAGGAGAAATCAGAGAAAGAGAGGAAGAAAAGGGGTCTCATCTCCAGAATAGCTGGGGGAGAGGGCGAGATGGAGAGAGACAGGAAAAGAATTGAATAGGTTGGTTTTATCCAAGTCTTGTAGAAGGAACTATCTCTGTCCTGGAGTCAGAGTCAAAAGAGGACTAGGTATCTAAAAGATCAGGTATCTGTTGATATTTCCCACATTCCATGAGAACCCCCTGCCAGGGGATCAAGGGTGAGATCCAAGGCTTCTCTGCATCACCTCGGTGCCTTCCTTCTCTTACAGGACATTTACCTAAACCATCTCTCCAAGCCTTCCAAAGGGGTAAGATCACCGCAGGAGAAGAGGTGACTCTGCAGTGTCAGAAGCCAGACAACTTGATTGTGCCTACAGTGTTTGCTCTACTGAAGGCAGGAACTTCATCACCCATACAGCTTCAGAGGCCAACAGGGAAGGAGACTGATTTCTCTCTTCAGCATGTGACAGTCAATGACACTGGGGAATACAGCTGTGTGTACTACCTGGCAAAGGCTCCTTTCTGGGCCTCAGACCCCAGTAATCACCTTGAGATCTTGGTGACAGGTAAGGGTTTGCATGATTTTGAAAAAGTGTTTTCTTTTTAAATCTGAGATTGTTTGTCTTGTTATTCGACTATTCTCCTTTCTTCATCACTTGCACTACTATCTCTTTCAAAAATTTTCCTGTTCTTAATTTTCCCTCCTTTGCCTTTTTTTGTTCTGCATCCTTGGATAATTTCTATGTTGTTTTCAAAATTATGAATCCCACCGTCATCAGAATTCCTTCTATCATTTTCTGTATCTCTTAATGTTTTAGTTTTTCTTAGTATTAGTGATGTTATTCTGATCAATTCTTTCTTGTTCTCAGAACATAGCATTTAGCCTCCTGCTTCTGTGTTATGAATATGATCTACTCATGTCTCATGACACTTACTGTTAAAATTCTTTTAAAATTATCTTCTGTTTCCTGTCAGAATTCTGCTTTACTGGATGTTACGCAATCTCCTTCCTCAGCTTTGTAAATTCTCTTTTGTGTTTTTGAGCCTTTGCACATAATGTGCATGCTTTTTAGTTAGAAATAAAGTTCTGTGAGGTCAGTAATGAGAGGTGGAGAAGGCTTCCTGAGCATGCTGGCCTCAGTACCTATTTCTCCCCAGGGACTTCGCCTGCAGGGAACATTATTGTTGATGAGTTTAGAGGTAAACTTTGCACTAATTGTGACATGTGAGATGTGATGAAACAAATCCAGGTTTCTCTTCAGTAACGGGGACCAAGGCCGGGCTTGAGCTCTTCCTGAGAGAAGTTGAGATACACACCAGTCCAGATGTTTAGCTGCTAAACTCAAACTTTCATTAGCTCACTGTCTGCATAACATTTTGTGCTGTGAGGAGGCATGCTGATCCAGCCACTGAATTTCAGTGCTCTGTGGAGCTTCTTTGGTCTTAGGTGTTGCTCCTAAGACTGATTCCTATTATACGAAGGGATAAGGAAAAAAGGAAATGTGGGAAGGTGTAAATGAGGTAAAAAGCAAATAAATGAAAGAAGAGAGCTAAGGCAGAGTGAATATCAAGGAAAGAAGAAAAAAGAACACCACTACAATTCTTACTAAAATCCCACACTTGTTTTCAAGGATTAAAACTTCAAAAAATGTACAGTCATGTGCTACATAATGACATTTTGATGGATGATGGACCACGTATATGACAGGGGTCCTATAAGATTATAATACTGTGTTTTTTCTGTACCTTTTCTATGTTAGGATATGTTTAGATACACAAGTACTTATCACGGTGTTACCACTGCCTACAATATTCAGTACACTAACATGCTGTGCAGGTTTGCAGCCTAGGAGCCATAGGCTGTGCCATTTAGCCTAGGTGTGCAGTAGGTTCTTCCACAGGTGTGTGTGAGTACACTCTATGATGTTTGCACAACGATGGAATCACCTGACGATGCATTTCTCAGAACACATGTCCATCGTTAAGTGACACATGACTGTACAGCGGACCAGGAGGTATAAATGGAGGTATGAGAGTCAGATTTAGGAGATCCATATGAGAGGAAGGGACACACTCCTTCACGGCCAGTGCTGAATCCCTTCTCTCTTGCAGTTTCCCCAGGCACCACGTTGAGTGATTATACCAAGGGTAACCTCATCCGACTGGCTCTGGCTGCCATAATTATGATTATTATAGGAGTCCTTCTGATTGAAGCCTGGCATAGCCAGAAGCAGTCTCCAAGCGAATCCAGGTAAAACAATTGAGCGCTTCTCGTTTCCATGGGCTGTTGGAGAGATATAAGGTTCTTTTTTCTCCACTAGTTTTATTGAAGTGTAATTGAAAAATTAAAATGTTACATATTTTCATGTACAATATGATGTTTTGATATATCAAATTAAAAATTTTTATGTATTTATTTTTATTTAACACAATAATTGTACATATTTATGGGGTACAATGTGATTTATCAATACACATATGCAATTGTAATAATCAAATTAGTAATTGGGACTATCTGTCACCTCAGACATACATTATTTCTTAGTGGTGAGAACATTCAAAATCCTCTCTGCTATTTTGAAATATACAATATATTACTGTTAACTATAGTCACCATTCTGTGTAAGGGAACACTAGGACTTATTCCTCCTATTTAACTATAATTTTGTACCCATGACCAACCTCTCCTTATCCTCCCCTACCCTACATTCAAAATCCTCTCTGCTATTTTGAAATATACAATATATTACTGTTAACTATAGTCACCGTTCTGTGTAAGGGAACACTAGGACTTATTCCTCCTATTTAACTATAATTTTGTACCCATGACCAACCTCTCCTTATTCTCCCCTACCCCATATGCAAATCAATAAATGTGATGCATCACATCAACAGAATGAAAGATGAGAACCATGCAATTGTTTCATTAGATGCAGAAAAAGCATTTGGTAAAATTCAACATTACTTCATGATTAAAAACTGTCAATAAATTAAGTACAGAAAGAATATACCTCAACACAATAAAGGCCATATGATAAATCCACAGCTAACATCATACTAAAAGGGGAAAAGTCAAAAGTGTGTCCTCTTTTTTATTTCATATTTTTCTAGTGTTTTACCTAATTTGGGGAGAATTCCACTTTATAGCATGGCATCAATTTGCTCTTGTGTTGTATGCACTATTTCTGATGCACGTGTAAAGCATCATCAATTATATTTTAATTTTCAAAATCTCTTGTTGCTTCTTGTTAACAGTTTTGTTCATTTTCACAAATACTCATTCTTATTTCAGATCATCCACCATGGTCAAATGGAATTCATCCCAAGAATGCAAGGATGGTTCAGCATATGCAAATCAATAAATGTGATGCATCACATCAACAGAATGAAAGATGAGAACCATGCAATTGTTTCATTAGACGCAGAAAAAGCATTTGGTAAAATTCAACATTACTTCATGATTAAAAACTGTCAATAAATTAAGTACAGAAAGAATATACCTCATCACAATAAAGGCCATATGATAAATCCACAGCTAACATCATACTAAAAGGGGAAAAGTCGAAAGTGTGTCCTCTAAGATCTGGAAGAAGGCAAAGATGCCCACTTTCACCACTCTTATTCAACATACTACTGGAAGTCCTAGCCAGAGCAATTAGGCCAGAGAAAGAAATAAAAGACATCCCAACTGGAAAGGAGGCAGTCAAATGATCCTATTTGAAGATGACATAATCTTATATACAGAAAACCCTAAGGACTCCACCAAAGAACTACTAGAACTCATCAACGTATTCAGTAAAGTTGCAGGATATGAAATCAACATACAATGCTAACAGCAAACTATGTGAGAAAGAAATTTTTAAAAATCTCATTTACCATAGCTACCAAAAAAAACCCCAAAACAAAAAAAAAACAAAAAACCCCACTTAGGAATAAATTTAATCAAGGAGTTGAAAGATCTCTACACAAGAAATTTTTAAAAATCTCATTTACCATAGCTACCAAAAAAAACCCCAAAACAAAAAAAAACAAAAAACCCCACCTAGGAATAAATTTAATCAAGGAGTTGAAAGATCTCTACACTAGATGTTCTGCACTCCCATGTTCATTGCAGCATTATTTATAATAACCAAGATGTGAAAGCATCCAAAGCGCCCACCATCAACTGATGAATGGATTGAAAAAAGTGGTATTGGTGCACAATGGAATACTATTGACTTTAAAAAGCAGGAAATTCTGTCATCTGTGACTACATGGATGCACCTAGAGGACATTATGCTAAGTGAAACAATCCAGGGACAGAGAGACAAATACTACATGAACACACTTATATGCGGAATCTAAAAAAGTGAAACTCACGCAAGTAGAGAGTGAAATGAATAGTGGTTACCAGAGTCTGGAGAAGGGGTGGATGGGGAAGGGAAGATGTTGGTCAAAAGGTAAAAAGTTTTAGTTAGACAGGAAAAATAGGTACTGGTGGCCTATTACACAGTATGGTGACTACAGTTAACAATAATGTACATTTCAAAATAGCTAAAAGAATGGATTTTAAAGGCTCTCAGTACAAAGAAACGATTAAATATTTGAGGTACTGGATATTTTAATTAGCCTGATTTGCTCATTCCATAATGTGTACATATATTGAAACATAACCTTGTACCCCATAAAAATATAGTTATTCGTTAATTAAAAATAAACTAAAACAAAAGCAAAATCAAAATCAAAAAACACAACAATGCCAAAATAATTCAGTGACAAAAGCGCAGGCCTTTCAAAAAATGGTGCCAGAACAACTGGATATCAGTATGTTAAAAAATGAACTTTGTCACTTACCTAATAGCATATACAATAAATAACTTGAAAGAGATGATGAAACTAAATGTTAGGGGTAAAACTATAAAACTTATAGAAGAAAACAGAACATAAAATTTTTGTGACCTTAGGTTAGGCAAAAAAATTTCTTACACAAAAGCTCTAACTGTGAAAGAAAAATCTTCATTTTTTGGCTTTGCCAAAATCCAAAACATTGGCTTTAAAATGATGCTTAAAAACTAAAAGGTAGGTTACGAACTGAGGTAAATATTTCCAAAACATGTTTGTTAAGGGATTTGCATCGAGATTAAATATATTCTTGCAACTCACTACTAGGAGATGAACAACCCAGTTTAAAAACTGGCCAAGATTTTTTTTTTTTTTTGACAGCTGGCCAGTATAGGGATCCAAACCCTTGACCTTAGCGTTATATATAACACCATGCTCTAACCAACTGAGCTAACCAGCCAGCCTGAGCCAAGTATTTAATCACATACTTCATCAAAAATATACACATGTATATATACACACACACAGTATATACGTCCAGTAGTACATGAAAAGATGTTCAACAATATTATGTATCAGCTAATGTAAAATAAAGCCTCACTGATCAAATAAGTAGAATAACAATCACAGAAATATGTCCATACATGTATAGAACTTTGATTTATGACCCAAGTTGCAAGTCATATCAGTAGGGGAAAGATAGATTGTTATTTTTATTATACTTTTTTATAAGTCATCATCTTGTCCCTTCCCAACAGAATTAGGGATGCACACTCCATGGGATTCTGTTAAGGGTCAGCAGGTCTCATTCAATCAAGCACTCATCAAGCCCCTGGGCCTTTCTGGGGCCTGTGGGTTGGACAGACCTGAGGTTAGGAGGGAGAAGAGTGGGAATATCATTTCCCTGGCCTCTATACACAGGTCTTCAGCCAGAGAAAAGACGACCCCCATTTTCCTTCCTCTCCATCTAGGGATGTTCAAATGATTGGGGCTTTAACTGGTGTTCGATGGGAAGGGAAAAGATGCTAAATGTTCATATAATCAACAGGACAGTCCCACGTAATAAAGAAATATCCCACCAAAAATGCCATAGGTTCTCCTGCTCTGAAACATAAGATGTTTCCGTGGTAGAGTTTGGTGTTGAAGAACACCACATTACTAAAACAGCTCATGAAAAAAAGAAGCACTCAGTTTTTTCACTTCAATTCACATGGAGACTCCTGGCTATGCCAGGCTTCAACCAGAAAAGTCCCCATAATAACCATAAATATGGTAGCCAGACCAAGTCAGATGGTATTAAACTGGTTGTAATCTCCTGATGTGTACTAGGAAAAACGAAGAGAGAATGGGTCCAGCACTGGCCGCAAAGGAGTGTTCTTCTTTTCAGATGGATCTACCAAATCTGATGCTCCTATGCCCACCTGCATTTTCTGGCCAGTGGTCAGCTGTACCTTTATTAAACATTTAATAGCTGAAAACAAAATGTGGGATTTTATGAGTTTTAATAATTCTTCCTTCATCTTTTCTTTACATTCACTCTGCCTTCCCTCTCGTTCTTCATTTTTTTGATATTTATCTTGTTTCCCCCTTTTCACATTTCCTTTTTCTCTTTTCCCTCCATATATTAGAAATGAGTCTTAGAAGCAACATAAAAGACTTAGGATGCTGGGGTTAGTTTCCTACGGCTGTCGTAGCAAAACAAGCTGGGTAACTTAAAATAACAGAAATTTATTCTTTCGCAGTTTGGAAGCTAGAAGCCTGAAACCAAGCTCTTGATAGGGCCATGCTTACTCTGAACCCTCCAGGGAAATATCCTTCCTTGACTCTTCCAGCTTCTAGAAGCCCCAGGTGTTTGTTGGCTTGTGGCAGCATAACTCCATTCTCAGCCTCTGTCTTCACACAGCTGTCTTCCCTCTGTGTCTCTGTCTCTATCTTTTCTTTATCTTAAAAAAAAAAAAAACAAAGTCATATTCGATAAAAAGTCTTCACGAATCCAGTTTGACCTCATTTTAACTTAACCAATTATATCTGCAAAGACCAAAAAAGTGCTATTTCCAAATAAGGTCACATTCACAGGTATTGAGAGTCAGAAGAACTTGAACATATCTTTTTAGGGAACAAAAAGCAACCCAAAACATTGCTCCAGTAGAGTACTGGAATTCAGTTGCTGGCACAGTAGCCCTCCTCATCGCACAAAATATAGCTCCATGCAGGCAGCTAGCTCGAGAAAGTTGGACTTTAGCAGCTAAACATCTGGGCTATTGTGTATTTCAGTTTCACCCAAGATGTGCTAGAACCTGGCATTGGCCCTGGTTCCTAATAAGAAGCCCGAATTTCAATCATCTCTCTCAACAGAGGTGGAAATCTCTACCCTCACACATCCCAATTAGTGCAAGTTTCATCTCTAAACTTAGCAGTAATAATGTTTTCTGAGGCAAGGCCAATAGGCAGAAATTTGTAATGATGCCGCCATATTTGGAAAGCCCTCTCCACCTCTCAATACTGACCACTCTGGCCTTTATTTCCATTTATAAAACATTCACTGACTCTATGGAAAGAATCAATAACACGAGAGGAAAGTCACAAACTGAGAAATTAGAGTGTGTAGCTCCCAGTGAAACAGAATTGTAGCAGAAAACAGAAGATAATCTTAGTAGAAGACTTAACGGTACATACCGTGAGACATGAGCAGATACGGCGTCCATGACATAAAATCAGGCTGCTGTGGAAAGACCACATTATGAGAACAAGAACGAGTCAATGAGAATAAAATCACTAACGCCAAGAGAAGACAGAATTTTAACAGATTCAGAGAATGGTAGAAGGAATTCCGCTGATGATAGGATAAGTAATTTTGAAGAATTATGCAAGAAATCATCCAAGAATGCAGAAGAAAAAGATGCAAAGAAGTGGAAATTATGAAAGGAAAGATTTTAAAAGATAATCATGGAAGTAATAGAGAAATGAAAATCAGAGAACAATGGAACACTCTGATTTAAAAAAAAATCTTTCTTTAAATCCAGCAAAACCTTACCTGTCCGCAAGATCTCAGGGCAATTGCTGGGGTGTGAAGCCAAGAAAGGAGTCCTTGTCTGATGGTAAATACAGCTGTAGTTTCCAGTGCACTGACTCTCACATTTCAAAGCGGGAAGTCTTTTTTTTTTTCGTTAAATTTTTATTTTGTCAATATACACTGTATATGATTATTATGGCCCATCACCG